ACCTTACAAAGCAAATTATTTGCTCTTACTATACTGTAGCACAGAAAATGGATGATTTGTTGATAACTTTTATTTGCTCCCAAAATCAGGTCTTTTAACACCAAAGAAGCTTTGTATTTTTCTGACCAATTTGGTGCCTTTGGAGTTACCAAGGCATTGGTAACATAGCTCTTTAGTCTTCAAAATTATATAAAGGTGATGGACCTTCAGCCCTACTGAGGATGAATTCTTGTCACTACTGGCATCTTGGTTTTAAGACTTGTGATTAAAAAATATATGTGATTAAAACTAAATGTACAATAGGCATTTTCCTTAAAGTCTTTGCACAAATATTAATCCACACCCACTCATGAAATCAGAAATATCCCAGTGTAAAAGCCAGAAAACTTGAGATGTGAAGCGTTTTAAAAGTTTTAATTAAGCAAATTTATGTTAGTGCCTAGTTCTGTTACCCACCGTAGCATTCCTTATAAAGGGAGGTGATCAACTTGACTTTATATCTTCCCAAGATCACTTGATCACAATCTTCTCTCACCCATAATTCAGATCTGACTTTTGCCCATTTTAATACAGTAACAAGCTTTGTCCTCCAATTGGCAGAAGTAGACTGTTACAGAAGGTGCATCGGCTGCCTGCAGTTGGAGCTGTGTTCTTAAACGTGACGCCCCTAAGAAAACGCATTGGTGGTTTTGCATTTGTTCAGTACAGAGGAAGGCGCGGTCACTGGGGAATAGGTGGGCCCTACTAAAAGCCCGCTTGAGGTTAGATAACAAAAGGAGGGAGTTTTGAAAGTTAGAGCCCTCCTTTCATCTTCAGCAACTTTATTGTAAAACAAACATCCATCAGCAGCATGTGGGGTTATGAGGATCTAACATTTGTTCCAATAAAGCATTATGGTAAGTGCCCACTCCAGCAGGAAATTAGAGGAGTTAATTTTGACACAGTAAGTTATTCGGAAAACCTTTTAACAGGTCCCCAGTGATCCCCACCTGTTACATACTTGTGTAAGAACACTTGTAATCCTCGTACCTTGAATGTGGGCTTTGTCCTAATAGAGGAAGTAAACATGACAGGATGTCACTTCTGAGATTGGGACACACAAGGGCTGCGGCTTCTGCCTGCACCCTGTTGGTTCACCTTGGAGCCCTGGCTCTGGGGCAGCAAGGCGCTGTGTGAGTACCACTGTGGAGAGGCCCCCAGTACAAGCTGTGAGAACACCCTGCGAACAACCACTGTGTTGGGAGCCCACGCAACACCTCAACTGCAGCCCTGCAAGAAACTCTGAGGTAGGGACACTTGGCTGAGACTTGCTGGATCCTAACCCACAGACACGGAAATGTTTTAAAGCCACTGCGTTCTGGGTAATTTGTTACGCAGCAACAGTTCAGGGATGTAAGGTAATGAAAGCATTTGGAATATCCTTCCAGTTCACATTTCAGATGTAAATGACTAGTCCTTTCTCTCTGGGCCCTATCTGCTCAGGCTTGGTCACTGATGAGACTTGGGTATCAGAACTATCCCTAGCCCCCAGCAGCCCAAGACAGGCAAACCAGAAGTAAGGGAGGAAGGAAGGTAACTTCATTAGAGGAATGCTGGTTTTATTGAGTTTCTATATACTTTCAAAGATGAGATGTGAGGTGCCCTTTAAGAACGTATTTAAAGGTAAAGCCGCTTTAGAGACCTGAGAGTATCAACAAAAATCATGACTATTATTGGACAGGTTGAGTTCCAAGTTTCCTTGAACATAAAGCTGAAGGGGAGACGCTGGGTGGTGACTCGTTTGCATATCGTTCGTTCCCCAGCCCGGAAGCAGCTCGCTGTTCCCAGCAAGAGCAATGCAAGCTGTTGGCAGGTGCACCTGGAGCCCCCAGGAGCTTCTGGGAGTCACCATAGCTGCCATATCAGTGAGAAATATTTTGACAGTAAAGAGGCTTTTAGAAATGTTTTTATTTCTTGCCTTCTATAAAAAAAGTAAAAGAAATGAACAAATATAGCTAGAAACTCACTAAGCTACAGAATTTGTGAAATTCTGCTGTTCATCAAGCTTGCATAAAGTAGGTGCCTGGCTCTGAAATAATCTTATCAGCACAGCAAAATACAAATAAACTCATGGACATGGACAAGTGTGACGACTGTGGGGCAGGGAAGGTGAGTATAAGGGTAACGCATGGTAATGGAAAAAATGCAATAAACTCACTGAGCCACTTTGAAAAAAGAAGATATGAATATGATTATCACACCTCATGCTAAACGTTCCTGTTGGCAACCGGCCAGTGCTGGGAGGCTGTCCTTCCTCACCCATCTGAACAGGAGCAGAAATGCCACGCTGACTGGGCATACAACATGCCCTACAACCCTGGAGTGAGACACCTACTGTGTGCCATGTCCCTGACTGCTGCTGGGTGAAACTACAACAAGATCCGCTGTTTGTTCAGCATTTCCCCCCTCTCTCCTGTGAGAGAACAGCGCCCCCATTTTTTCTCTCCTGAGCAAATGACTGAAGACCAGGAAACACCTGTTCCTCAGGACCATTCACTGCAGACAGTCAACAAATCCCTGTTCCTACCCCAGCCCCCAGGGAGGGAACAGCCTGAAGAACGAGTTGTCTTGGCATTTGCTGCAACACAGTATTATCCAAACTGAGTTCCCCTCTGGGTGCTGGCAAAAACTCACCATTTAGTGTGCCAAATCCAAAGTGTTTTATAAGAAATATTTCCAATTACTATAACAAATTACTTGAACACATGTAACAGATTTCTGAATCTGGTAGCCAGTTCTGATTGGGTGAGTGTGGGCACTACACGGAGGTGTGATTTTGGGTTCCAAAGGGAAAAAAAGTCAATTTAGTCTCAAGTTTTTAAGACTCTATGTTTACCCAATCTTTATTAGACTTCCTGGTGGATTCAGGTTCTGGTGACTTCTCTCTACCTTACCCACCTCTGAGTGTCAATAAGAAGACAAAATGTGAGAAAGGAGAAGCAAAGGAACCTCTAACCTCAACCTAAAATGATCCATCTTGCTTAGCTGTCTCTTGTTCAGACGCCCCGCAGGGCCCTTGGCGGTCTTTGGTGTGCCTTCGAAGGACATGTCCTCGGAGAATTGGGCTGGGGGAGTCTCAGACCTGGAGGGCCCTAGACTCGGACTCATTCCACCTTCTCCTTTCACAGAGGAGGCCTCAAGAGGGAAAAGCGATTTGCAGATATGAAGGGATAGGAGGAGAACTTGGGTCCCCAGTGAGGAGAGAGGGACCTGTGTCTGCATATCGTTGGTGGGGGTCACGGCACTTCGGCTTCACCTGAGAGTTCTCTGTAGGTGGCCCTGTCTCCGGAGAGCACCAGGTCCAGTCTTGGGGCGAGGGCTTCAGGACTTGCTCTAGCAGCCAGGGCCAGGGACGCTGGGCAGGAACTAGGTTCATCTCTGAAGAATACTATTCCCTCATTTCCCAGTGACAGGAAAATACATGACCTGTGATATTTTTAAAAACAAAAGAGTTTAAGATTATAAAATTTGATACTTTTAAAGCCAATAAAAATGAAGAACTTCCTCACTAGTGTATAAGAGAGTATTCGATGTCCCTCGAGAAACTAATTCATGTCCATTATAATGTTCATAAAATGTAGAGCAAAAAAAGGGGGAACTCAGTAATTCTACCCCAGAATCTATCAGAAAGTTATCTATAGCAGAAATCCAAAATGGCTAATAACCAAGGTCTGGTTTAACAAGTAAATGGCACACCAGTGCTGTGGAGTTGGCAGCTTTTAAAAACTTTCATAATGAACATCGGGAAAATATTTGTATTCTAATGGTTTGCTACTCAAAGCGGGACCCCGATTGTACCACCCATCGCTGCCAGAATGCGGAGTCGGCCCGTCCCGCCTGCTCAGAGCCCACACTTCATCGAGATCCCCAGCCCTTTGGGTTTTCTCATTAAAGTCTGAGAAACATCTTTGGGTGGGGTGGCAGCTGCAATACTGATTTATAATTACTCAAAAATAATATAGTATATCTATGTGGTGACAGATTGGAAGTTAATTTGCAAAATTTAAAAAGTTTATAGTGAGATACTCCTCCCTACCCACACAAAGTGCCTGCAGTGTGTAGATCCTTAATCAGTGACAGGTATTAAGTGATGAGCTGATATTGTCCTGGGCTTTACTTTTCTTTTTTTGTTTTTAAGATTTTATTTATTTAGAGAGAGAGGGAGAGAAACATCGATCAGTTGCCTCCCGCACGCCCCCAGCTGGGGACCAGGCCGCATCCCAGGCATGTGCCGTGAACCGGAATTGAACTGGTGACCTTTTTTGCTTTACAGTACAACGCCCCACGGAGCCATGCTGGCCAGGGCTGTCCTGGGCTTTTCTTTCTTTTTTTAAGATGCATTCCTTAATTTTCTTGTTAAATAACATTTTGAAAACTTAAAAGACAGTAAGGATATTAATATGTTGTGCTTCCTTTTCAACCATACATTAAAACTGCTTAAGTCATGTTTTTCTTTTTGCCTTAGCTATCAGGAAGCATAGAGCTGAATTTAATAACTCAGCGCAGTAATTCTATCAGCCTCACTTTCTAAAATACTTGTTTTCCTCTTGTGACTTTTGTTTTCTATTTTATTAGGTTTTTCTAGTATATGTCTTTACAAATCACTTCAAATTCTTTCTGAAAATCAGGGTCCAAATGACAGTAATGAGTTCTAAACGTTGTTCTTTTTTGCCAGACTCCACAGAAAGATGAGTTTATGAAGCCACCTGCCCATTTTTAATTCTTTCTTCTCTCCCCGTTCTTTTTCCACTTCTCAGGACACAAGTGTTCCAGTTAGCCCCTCAGTGAAGGGCTCAGATGCCAGCTAGCGCCTCCCATTCCCTAGGTCATCCCTGGGCCACCCCGAGGCCCTTAGAGCTCAGTCTCAGGAGTCATTCGGTCTGCCTATTTAATAAGGAAGCAGAAGCCCACGGTCCATTCAAGGTCGCGCAGACCGCCCCCCAGTGGAATTACTCACCGACCCTCCAGCTGCCTCAGACTTCCTCTGCAATGAGAAAGAGAAGGAACAGTGCTTGTTTACGATCAAGCCTTGCTTTCAGGGAAATTCCCCAACAATTCCCCTTATTCAAGAAAGTTTGCACTCTGTTCATAACGTTTATCAGCTTCTAATTCCATGTAGCTAGATTGTCTCCATTATCAGGACCTAAGGTCCAATTCAGACTTCTTCCCTCACTGCACCCCCAGGGCCGGAAAGTGCGGGTGGGCAACTGAGCGAGAGCACAGGAGCTGTTACTGGTTGGCCAGATGGACGATGTAAGAAGTGGAGATACTAGAAAGACAGAGGGGGAGAGAACTAATATTGATTAATCCCCTATAATATGCAGGCATCGTTAGTGTTTTGTATGCATTCTCTAATCCTCAACACAATCGTTTATTTTTCTTGAGATACAATTCACTAACATAAATTTTACTCCACTTGGTTGTCTTAAGGATATTCACTAGGTGTGCCAGCATCACTGCTACCTAATTCCAGGACATTGTCATGCAAGGAGCTCTGTGCCCGTTAGCAATCCCAATTCCCCCCTCCCTCCTAGCCCCAGGAAGCTACTATCTCGTGTCTCTACGGATTTGCCTGTTGTGAACATTTTTTATGAATGGTATCATGCAATACATGGTCTTTTGTGTCTGGCTTCTTTCACTTACTGTAATTTTTTCAAGATTCATCCACACTGTAGCAATTTTCAGTATTTCGTTTCTTTTTATGGCTGAATAATGTTCCATTGTATGGATTTACACATATCCTTTATCCACTCATCATTCAATGCACATCGGGGTTGTTTCCGCATTTTGACTGTTGTGCTACTATGGACATTCATCCACAAGTTTTAGTGAACGTGCATTTTCTTTCTTTTTTTAGTAAATATATATTTTTCATTTAATTATTGTTCAAGTACAATTTTCTGTCTTTTACTTCCATCCCAGGCCACTCCCCTGAACATGTATTTTCAATTTCCTTGCATATATACCTAGGAGTGGAATTCCTGGGTCATATGATCTCCATTTCTGTGGTTCTGTTCCTGTTCTAGTTGCTTGCTTAGTTTGCTTTTGTTTTAGGTGTGGTTGTTAATAACTGAGTTTGCTGTCTTTTTACTGTTCATGTTTTTTATCTTCTTTTTCTTAGATAAGTCCCTTTAAAATTTCATATAATAAGGGCTTGGCGATAAAAAAATGGCCCAAACTTCCTTCTTTTTTATTATTGCCTCCCTGGTGGGTGTGAGGTGCTGTCTCCTTGTGGGTTTGAATTACATCTTCCTAATGACTAATGAATGATGTTGAGTATCTCCATGGGCTTTTGGACATTTGTATATCTTCTTTGAAGAAATGCCTGTTCAGATCCTTTGCCCATTTAAAAAATTATGTTATTTGTATTTTTATTATTGAGTTGTAAGAGTTCTTAATATGTTCTGGATACTAGAATTTTAATTATGACTTGCAAATATTTTCTCCCAATATGTGAGTTGTCTTTTCACTTTCTTTTTAAAAATATATTTTATTGATTATGCTATCACTTTCTGGATAGTGTCCTTGAAGCACAAAAGTTATCAGTTTTGATGAAATCCAATTTATCTATTTTTTTGGGTTGCTTGTGTATTAGTTCTTATATCTTAGAAACCATTGCCTAATTCAAGGTCATGAAGATTGACACTTACGTTTCCTTCTAAGAGTTTTATAACTTTATATCCTACATTTAGATCTTTGATCCATTTTGAGTTTTACATATGATGTAAGGCAGGTAGTGCAACTGAATTGTTTTTGCATGTAGATATCTGGTATTCTCACACCATTTATTGAAGACTGTTATTTCCCCCATTTACAGGTGTTGGCATCTTTGTTGAAAATCAGCCCAAGATGTTGAGTTTATTTCTGGACTATTAATTAATTTACTTATTTATTCCATTATCATTTATCCTTGCTATGGACTCTCAAATACATTCTATTGGTCTGTGTGTCTATTCTTTTGCAGGTACCACACCATCTCAATTACTGTAGCTTGGAAGTAAGTTGTGAAATCAAGGTACGTCCACCTTCTAACTTTTTCTTCTTCAGTACAGTTTTGGCTATTCTGGATCTCTTGCACTTCCATATAAATTTTAGGATCACCTTGCCAATTTCTGCAAAAAGCCAGCGGGGATTTTGATAGTGGTTGCACGTAACCTGTAGATTGGTTTGGGGAATATTGCCATCTTAACAATAGGAAGTCTTCTGATCCATGAACATGAATGTTTTTGTTTATTTAAGCCTTTAATAAAATAAAGCTCTGCCCCCCTGACCCAACTTTGTGCTTTGACAGAAGCAATAACTACTTCACTGAGTAGTTCGATGTGTTCAGGAAGGTTCCGTGGGTGTTTTCTAACAGGTAATAAATAAGTTGAATCCTGCATGATAGTGAGGGGACTAAAGCACAGAGAGGAGGAAATCTGAAGAGATTGAAGGCAACACGCATGGGGTACAGAGGGAGGGGGAAGGAAGGAAAGGAAGGTGAATTGACATGTTGATTAGTGAAGAAAGTGTCAAAGGAACAAAGCTATCTCTTCATAAGAGAAAACTTTAAAGAGAAATTAATATGAATAAAATTTCTTTCTAGCTAAAAGAATCCCCTCTGAGAATAAAAGAATACAGCTGAGTAATATAAAAATGCCCCGCACAGGTGTCCCTCGAGGCCAAGAGCCAGGCAGGCCCCTGCAGAGCTCCAGGGAGAGCCCCTGACACAGAGAGTCGTGCGGGTTGCTGGGGTCCCCACCTCCATCCTTTCCTCACAGGGTCGCTGTGAGGGTTGAATAAAAACATCCTCTAAAAACAAACCTTACATCACTCTTGCACACGGAGGAGCTCCATGTGCAAGAGTGCACTAGTTCCATTTCCCTTCCCTTTACGGGGTTAGCCAGGGACCCTTAGGAATCTGCTGCAATAGAACTGTATCTCTCTCCTCTGCCCGCCTTGGCCCAGCTCATTCTGGCAATTTGGTTTCCATCTTTAACCACATAACTTAGAGTTTGAATCTCTCTTCTTCCACTTCCAGAGAAGGGTGAGATGTTTCCAGTTACGTCCCCGTGGAGAAGTAGGCCCTGGGCTAAGCCGGAGAAGACCTGAGTCCCGTGCTCCTCCTTGCTCCCACCTTCTGTGAACCTGTAGGTGGTCTCCCTTGAAGGCTTCAGGTGCTTCCCTGGGAAGCCTTTGGTCACAGGGGACAGAGGAGTTTAGCTGTGTCTTCTCGTTCAGGTTCAAGGGTGATATGAAGACCACTATGGGAAGTGGAGACTGGAGAGGTCTGGGTGTGTCAGGCCCCTCAAGAGGCCGCCTACATTTCGGGGTTCACAGTGTGCGAGACAGGCCCCGCCCTATGACAAGGTGATGAAGTGTGTGCACTGAGAGGTCAGCGCCTCCGATAGAGGAGGACCTAGAGGGGACAGGAGCCCTGGAGGAAGGGCGGCCACTGGGAAGCGGTCGGAGGAGGCTTCCCGGAGGGCCCGCCGGTGCGGCCAGGGTCAGCTGCAATGGACTTTTATGCCTGAGGGGTAGGACTGGGAAGAGAGGAAACTGAAACAGGGTGGGCACACGGAGAACCCCAAGGCTACCCTCACCCCAGGGAGCGCGGCCCAGGAGCTGTTCCTTCTGTACCCTAACCTGCCTTTCTCCTTCCCCAACGAGTCATGCCTTCTGCTCACCTGTCATTCACTTAGCAACCCCCCAGGGTTACTTCAAGAGCCAGCCCCTGGGCGGCTTTCTAGGGGAGGCCACGCCTGGCTCCCCAGGTAGATCGGGACTCTTCCCATACACCCCACGAACGCAGGGGGCAGGAGAACACCTGGAGCAGCCTCTGACCCACAGGCCTGTCACCTGCCACATTGCCACCCTCCAGTGGACTTCGGCCTTTGAGACAAGAGCTGTGTCCGTTGGACTTGGTGTCCCAACCTCTTGGCCAGAGGCCAAGTCTTCCTGACTGGCTGAGAGGAAGCCCCACCTCCCCCGGGGGAGGGCGGTTACCTTGTCCGTCCGCCGTGTAGTCGTCAGGGAGCAGCTTGTCCTGCCGGTAGCCCAGCACGAAGGCCAGGAAGGAGAGGATGAGGGCGTCTCCGATGCTCAGGATGGCCAGCATGAAGGCCCAGCGGATGGTGCAGTGGCCCAGCGTGTACTTGCCCGTCTGCTCCCCACACATGCCCCGCACCTCGCTCGAGTCCCAGCCGTCCGGGTAGACAAGGCAGCCGATCATCAGGCCTGTGGCTGTGGGGGTGGGGACAGAGGTGTAGGGCCAGGTGTGCTCGGTCTGCCACCTCCCGCCTCACATTGCTGCCATCTTGTCGCCTCCCTTCCCCTTGTGCTAACAGCCATGAGAGGCACCAGGGGCAGCTCCCACCATCCTTGTAGAACACAGGGGAGAAAACAGAGGCTCCAAGAGCTACAGCAGCTTCCCTGGAAGCCAGCGGGCAGAGGGGCAGAACAGAGAGCCAGGCCGGGTGGGTTCCGCCACAGGGACGGGTCCGACCAGGCCCTCAGCCAGGCTCCTCACTTCGGACTAGAGGAGGCGCCACCTACCCTTGCTTTGAAGTCCCCCCAAATCTGGCCCTGGCCCTGAGAACCCATCACTCCTAAGATGTATGTACTTTTTTTCATATTTCAATATCTCTGAAATAAGTGTTAATGAGAAACCTTCAGTCCATAGTTTAATTACAAGTATTGGGTTGGCCAGAAAGTCCACATCGGGTTTTTTTCCATAAAATTAAAGACACATTTTTTGTTTTTACCAATAACTTTATTGATTTGGATATTTTGAGTATGTTGGCTATCTCCTGCATGGTATGATTTTGATTGTTCTCAATTAAAGTCTCAACAATTTGATCGCTATCAGCTTCAACTGGTCTACCCGACTGTGGAGCATCGTCCAGTGAGAAATCTCCAGCACAAAACTTTGCAAACCACTTTTGACATATTCGATCAGTCACAGCATCTTCTCCAGACACGGTACAAATCTTTTTTTGTGTTTCAGTTGTGTTTTTACTTTTCTTGAAATAATAAAGCATAATATGCTGAAAATGTTGTATGTTTTCTTCCAGGATCAATATTAAAATGGCTACATAAAAGTTCACCAATTTTGATGTTTTTTTAAGTGCATGCTGACATGACAGCTGTCACAAGGCGATCTAACAAAATTGTTTCAAATACAGTTAAAGACAGCAAAGTGCCACTAGAGCCATCGAATGGAAAAAAACAAACGACCTTTTTGGCCAAACCAGCACTTTCCTTTGTATGGCACCTAGAGTAATGGCGTGCTCTGCAACCCAGGTGTCCTGGATCCAGTGGCCACAGGACGTATTCCAGCCCCGTCTCTGACTGTTCCTTCAGGAACCTTCCATTCAAGCCACGAGGTCTCCTCATTCTTAGCCAGGACGGCACAGTACAGCTGCTCATACTTCCCATAATCTAAGAATCCCCGGAATGTGTGTTTAAAAATGCTGATTCCTGAATGGGGGGGGATCAGGAACCACTTTCTTTTTTTTATCCTCACCCAGACATGCTCATTGATTTTAGAAAGAGGGGAAGGGAGGGAGAGAAACATCGATGGTTTGCCTCTGACATGCACCCTGACTAGGGACCAAACCCACAACCCAGGCATGGGCCCTGACCAGGAATCGAAACCACGACCCTTCAGTTTACGGGATCATGCTCCAGCCAACTGAGCCACGCTGGCCAGGGCAGGAGCTGCGGTTTCAAATGCACCGCTCCCGGTGATCGGCTCAGCAGGAACAGCCAGGAAACCTCACGGCAAGCCCTGCTCTTTGCTAACTACCTGTGTGACTCGGAGCAAGCTACATACAGTTTTTTTCTTTTTTTGCCTGTTTCCTCATTTGTAAAATAGGGATAATGACAGTACCCATCTGTCTAGAGTGAAGTGAGAGTCAGAGGAATTAATATTGGAAAAGCGCTCAGACCAGTGCCTGGCACACCGGCACTCGTGAGTGTGACTCCCACTGTGCCGTTCTGTGCTTTCGGTGACTCGGTATTCACAGCCACAAAGTCCATTCCCCTCCCCCACTCCGCCCACGCCTCCTCACCAAACCACCACCCCACCTTTGCCCCACAGACAGGTGACATAATCCTGGGGTGTGACTGTAGTGACCCTGAGCACAGCGACCGGGGCGCCTTCTTTCCTCACCCCGGGCCCTGATTCCGCAGGCAGGAGGGTCTTTAGTCTCAAGGCTGTGCCCACCCAGGAGCCCCTCGGAGAAGCACCTCGCAGGACCCAGTTACCTAATGGGGGCCCCCTGGCTCCTGTGAGGAAGGTCAGCAGAGCAAACACACGCGCAGGGAAGTACAAAGGTCAGGGTCCCACCTTCCCCCCTAAGTCTATCAACTCTCCTTTGATTGTTTTATAGGAGGAGGTCATTTATATTGTTCTTTCATAGATCATGAAGTACTTCATGTAGCATTTTGCTCTTTACCCTGACAATACCCCTGTGAAGCAGACCATACATGAATGTCCCGTTTTACAGACGAGAAGCTGAGGTCTCAGAGAAACCAAGTGACCAGCCCAGTCATCCAGCTACAGCAGAGCCGAGACCTGAACTCAGGGCTCCTTTATTGACTTCAGAGTTAATTCCCTCTGCTCCCAGACCGTGACATCTCTCCAAGGAGCTGAATGTGTTCAGTGGTGACGCTTCAGACTTAGTGACAAGCTAGGAAGTATTTCAGGAAGATACTTAGGTAAAACCTGTGGGCTTCCTCTCTTGGTATGAGACCAGCCTTTGGTGCCCCGCATGGCCCCTGGACTAACTGGGGTGGCAGGGGGTGGAGGAGGGACACACACACACACACACTTGCTTGTGCATGGGTGGATGTGGACAGGAGCCGCCCTTCTGTACTTTTCTCCCCAGAGCTTCTGCCCTTGGCCCCTTCCCCTTCCACACTGTCTCCCTGGGGGGGCTCTGGGAAAGAGCCCAGGGCCTCAGACTTGGAAACAAGTTGTCACAATGGGCACCACAGCCCTCTGTAAGCACCTACCCTTCCACCTCTGGTCCTAGGCACTGTGGGGTCAGCCCCATTTATAGTGTTTTGGGGACCCAAGTAGCATATAAGGTATTAGGCAAGTTTACTTACCCTTTCTGACTTTCATATGCTCATCTGTAAAATAGGGATAATAATACCTGACTCAAAGCAGGGTTGTGAGGATTCAGTGTGATGATGAAAAGTTTACTACAGTATCTGGTCCATGGTCAGTGGCCAAGTAACGTCAGCTGGTGCTGTTGTTATCAGCGTCTAAGTCAGATGGACACAACCTGGGTGGATGCGGACGTCATCGCAGCCATCCACACTATGCCAGGTGCACGGGATGATTCTACTTCCTTGACCCCCTCCCTCCCATGAAGTTAGGCAAGGCCATCGGACTTCCTTTGGCCAATAAACTGTGTGCATTTCCAGGCCAGAGCATTTAGCAGGAAGGGGAGACCTTCCAGAGCTCCCTGTCCCTCTGCAGTGACAGCTGATGCTCTGTGAGCCTGGGCTTCAGTAGAAAACAGTGAGGGCAGAGCCCCCAGCTGATCCTCAGGGAGCGTGTACCATGAGGGGGACATAAACCTTTATTTTAAGCCACTAAGATTTGAGAGTTGTTTGGTACTGTGGTATCACTACAGCCATCCTGACTGATAAAGTTGGTTTTTGTGATGTTTATATTTCCTGAGCACCTGCCATGTGTCAGGCACTGTGCAAAGTGTTCTGCATGCATTACATCATCCCAACCCGCAAGAACCCTGTGAAAGGAGATGCTGTTGCTACATTATACAGATGAGGTCACCAAGACTCCGAGAGACAAGCAACTCGCCCTGCGAGTGTTTCCAGGAGCTGGGACCACTCTTGGCCTGCCCCCGGCATCCAGAAGCTCATCTGATATTGTTAAGGCACAGCCCACACGGGTCCGGCCATCAGTCCTCTTTCTCTTCTCTTGCTCCCTTTCTCGGTCCCAGGCTTCTAGCAAGGTCAAGCTAACTGGTTAAGGCCTCTTCAGATAGACGCATCTCCCAGCTGCTGGCTGTGGGACACACCACCTCCTGCTCCCTCCCTTGGCTCATCTTCCCTTCCCCAGCACAGAGCAGCGAAACGCGATACCACCCTCCCTCTCCGGCAAAGGTAAATGTTTCATGCAATGGCCCCTGGCCACAGCGTCTCCTGTTCCATGACCCAGAGTCTGACTCAGATGGCCAGGTGACCCCTCCCCACCCAGGCCCTCCCAGCACTGCCTGTTTGGCAAATGACACCTGTTGTGAGAGGTTGGGGGAGGGGCAGTGCAGAGAAGGAGAGGGGTGGTTGTGTTCCCAGCATCCCACAGCTCTGATGTGCAGGGCCAGCTGGCAGCATGCCAGGGTCGGTTCTACCGCACTTCGTCACAAAACTGCTAAATCTTCATTCCCCTTCTTCCTCCCACTGCCCGCAGAGGCTTGTTTCATCCCCACCCCAGCCTTTCCCTCACCGTATAGAGAGACTGCAGAAGACAGTTGTGGGAATGAGGGCAGCTCTGAAGGCTGGTGAAAGGCCTGGGCACAAGATTCGAAATCAAAGGTTCTGTCCCTCACTACCTGTGTGCTCAAAGACAAATTAGCCCCAAGAGCCTGACGTGTGAAGTGGAAGGAACACCCACTTCGCTGCCCCGTGATGAGGCTGCTGACTTGTCGAAGACATGTGCGAAGGTAACTCTGCAAATCATTACGCTACCTAAGTGTGTGACTCGGCCTCCGTTCTCCTAGGGGCTTGGTTGCCAGCTGATCTGCTATAGCTTGGCCAAGTCTTACCATCTCTCTCAGCCCCAAATTTGTTTTCTGTAGTTAGGGGGCAGGGGACTGTAGCTCTCTGGGGTCGCCTCCAACTCAGACGTGGGTCTTGAGATTATATGTTAATTGTCTGGGGTTCTGATCCATGTTTCATTCTTTCTGTTCAGGATAACACTGCTCTTCATTTCTAGTCAGCCACAGCAAAGCAGGTTGTCTGCAGTCCCTGGCACTGCCTTGGACATTTGGCCAGTGAAAGGCCAGTACAGACAGGCTGTGCACAGTCCTTGGGGTGGGGAGGGACCAAGGGCTGCACGACCAAGTGTTAGGCCATCTCTTCCTGGGCTCCAGAGAGTAGGACCAGCTGGCCCACTGAGGCCTGCCTGGGCCAAGGGCAGGAAAAGGGGGCAGGGGAGGTCTTTCCTCTGAGTAGCACAAGGAGCCACCTCCCTACATGGTTTTAAAGACCCTAGACAGTACCCGCCTCCACATCACAAAATGTCTCCCCCCCACAGCCTCAAGTATGGAACCCTATAATTAAGGAACAAAGACTTTCATTCCACAATGAGAGGGGGAACTTAAATGCAAGTTTCTGTGGGAGAGGTCACATGCAGTAGAACATCCTAAATCAGTGGCTGACCTTACAGTCTTCCTTGAGAGCAGTTTGGGGTGGGAGGGAGGAGGTGAGGGCAGGACTCTGGGATCCTTAAAGGAGAAAGAACAAACGCACAGAAGTGGGTGATGTGGACATCTAGGACGTGCCTGACCGGCATCACTGTTTTGCCACGTGGTTGGGTCGCATTCCCACACAGCCGACAATGGAAGCTTTCTTTTCTCTTCCTCCCAGAGTGGCAACGGCCTCTGGTGTAATAACCTGGGAGTCAGGACATCTGATTTCTGCTACCAATTAGCTGAGTGCTCCTGGTAAAGTCACTTGCCCTCTCTGGTCCTCAGTTCCTCAACTGCAAGATAAGGCAGTTGAACAACTTGGTCTCTAAGGTGTTTCCTAAAAGTCTCTACTCCTCAGAAGCTTCGGCAGAGCACTGAGTGGAGCCGGGCTAAAGGAGGACAGCTGAGTAGGAGACCCAGAGCTTCCACAGAGGATGGGATGGTGCAGCTGCACCTGTGGCCTGCGGTGGGCCCCCCACCTGCCCGCCCACTACCCCGCTCACCCGCAGCCAGCTGCATCCACGCGCAGATCTTGTAAACTGTGGCGGTGTTGCAGACGAAGAACAGGCTGAAGCAGATGATGGAGCCAATGATGAGGAACATGCCCAAGGCCACAAAGAACATGGCAGTCTTGAAGGCTCTAGAGGGGATGGAGGAGAAGTCCAGAGGGCCACCCTTGCAGATGAGCTCAGAGGAGAGCACGTTGCCCACACAGTAGGAGAAAAGGCCAAAGTAGCCTGCCTGGGGTGTGTTGACGCTGTCCCCGATCCAGTAGGGCTGGATGAACAGGGCCATGACCAGCACAGAGAAGCAGATGGTGAGGGTGCCCCACATCACGCCGACAGCCCTGGCGTTCCGCACATAGTTGGTGTGGTAGATCTTGGCGGCCTCCTGGGCAGGCAGCAACTTCACCATGGTGAGGGCGCGGGCGCCTGGCCTGGGGCCTGCGGGCTGGAAGTCGGTGTCTGTGAGGATGGGGGCCCAGAGCCGGTCCCTCCCCAGCCGGGTTTGGAGAAGAGGCCGAGGTCAGGGCACAAGATGAGGGTCCCTCCAAAGTAGAGGAAAGGGGATAGATAAATAGGACAAGGAGACGATCTTGGCTTCTTCAGAGAAGCTTGCTCAGGTGCCTGTGTCCGCTTTAGCTGGCCTGTCTCTGATCTCCTGTCTCAAGGCTTTGGGGGTTTCGGGCCTGCAGGCACCGCCCCGCCTCCATTTGCAGCTCCGGGCCCCGGAGAGCTCCGCCCCCTTGGGCGGGCCCCGCCTCCTCCCCCCGGGGCCTGCTCTGCTTCAGCACCGCGGCCAGCACCCCACCCCCCATCCCCACCCCAGAACCCCGGAGGAGGGGCAGGCCGGGAGGCGAAGGGGTGCGGGGCGGGGCCGATGCCGCGTGACCCACCCGCAGCCGGAGGGAGCCGAGGCCCCTTTAGAGTTTCCGGAGGGTGGGACTGAGGCTGTCAAGTCCCTCCCGCTAATTCCTGCCGCTTCCTGAGCGTCGTCCCCATCCCATCCTCCCCCCACTCCGCCCTGGACTGCTCTCTGGTCACCCTCTCAGAACCTCTAATCCCCCCGGAGGCCAGCAAAGCCTCTTCTGATTTTATCTTCAGGTCACTGGTTTCTAGTTCCCATCTTTCAATAAAGAGTCGCTAAGAGTCTCCTGTGTGCTAAACCCTATGTTGGAGGGTGTCTTCCCTAAGCAAGAACCACGGAGATTAAAAAGTCTCGGCCCCTGCCCGGAAAAACAGTGAGATATTTACATGGAAGTACATATGCATGGTGTTTAAAGCTGTATTATTTATAAATACATTATCTATATTTATATGTATATATGAATACATTACTATATTACTTTATCATTATAAATACATTGTGTGTGTGTATATATATATATATATATATATATATATTTGCGATACAGGTTGGTAACAGAAGCAACTACAACATACATGTTCCTTTTGAGATTTCTCAGACTTTAATATATGCTTTTTGCTTGATACAATGTCTTTCTCTTCTTGTTTATGTTTTTGTTGCAGATTTCTTCCCCTTCTTTTTCAAAACATATATCTTTCTCCTGATTTTATAGGCAAGTAGATGGTTAGTGTACAGAACTAGGAAAATTCATGAACGTTACAAAAAGTAAAAATCACTCAAAACCCCAATGTGAGGAGCAAAGGAGAAAAAAGATGCTTTTTTTTTTAAATAAGAAAAAGCATTTATTTCTGCTCCCTCACACACCTTATTGTTCAGAAAACAGTCTTACATGCACGTCGGAAGCAACGCAGCTGCACGCTCTGTTTAAAGGCAGGGCGCCGCGAGTGAAGCTGACCGGCTGTGCAGAGTTCTCAGCTTATGGGATCTTGCTTTGTGATTTTACATTAATTTCTGAAAGTCAGATTTGCTATCTCCAGAAAGTGTTAAGAGAGTTGCAAAACAATAATCACTCTATTCAATATTATAGTTGTAGAAATGGATTACATTTTCTTTAAGAAATTAAAAGCTGAGGAGAACATGCCACTGAGCACCACTGGTGTGTCGGTGCAGGGTGTAGGTCAGCGGGAAAAAGCGCTGTAATCAGCTTGTCTCTCTGATATCAAGGAGATAATTTAGTTCAAGCTTTACTATGTGTCCCGTGTTGTCTACTAGATGCTTCTTTTCTGCTGCTTTCATCCTTTTCCATGTTTCATATCAGAGGATTGGTACAGCCTTTAAAACGGCACTAACAGGAACAAATCCCACATCCACAGATTTCTTTGCAAAAGGCATTCTAACCCATCAGAGAGCCTGGTGGTGTCATTCTCATGAATTCTCTAGCCATGGGGAAACTCAGTAGGACACAGACAAATCCACTGGCTTGAATAAGAAATCCACTGAGTTTTGGAATGTTTGGCGCATTGGACTGGTCTAAGACTACGAAACCTAAACCTCCCATTGTAAACAGGAAGCTGGATGCAAGTCCTTCCATAATATATTGTCCATTGTTCTATAGTCTAAGAAAGCTACTGGTCTCTTATGCCCATGTTCATCAGTCATAGAGCCAACATTTGAGGGTTTGACAATAAGATTATAAATTATTCCTCCAGTGATGAGGAAGTAAGATACCAAACATACGAGGTCATGGCTGAAAGAATGTTCACCCAGGGTGGCTTCGTCAGTTTCAGGTTGGGGCATTTCAGCACTAAGAGTTTCACTTGGTACAAAGTCTCCACGTTGGCAGTGGCAAGGGCAGCTCTCCATCTCAAGCCGCAGATGATCTTTAAAAGACAGACTTTGGGCCTGGCTGGTGTGGCTCAGTGGATTGAGGGCTGGCCTGTGAACCAAAGGGTTGCCGGTTTGATTCCCAGTCAGGGAGGGCATGTGCCTGGGTTTCGGGCCAGGTCCTCAGTGGTGGGGGTGGGCGGAGGGTGGCAGTGAGAGGCAACCACACGTGGATGTTTTTCTCCCTCTCTTTCTCTCACCCTTCCCCTCTCTCTAAAAATAAATAAATAAAAATCTTTTAAAAAGAAAAAGATAGACTTTGGCTTTAGAAAGATCTGGATTTGAGTTGGCTCTTATTAGTTAAGTGACCATCCATGGAGGTAGCTTCTTGAGCCTCAGTTTCTTCATACATAAAATGGGGATGATAATATTTTCTATCACATAAGGACAGGTAAAATATTATGTGCAAACTCTTTAGCCCAGGCCTCACATATGAAAGTGCTCAAAAATGTTTTTATTATTATTATTATTATTATTACCTCTGTTAATATTTTGATGCATTTCCCTCCCTCTGCACATATTGCTTTACACAGTTGGATGACAATGTATATACAATTTAGTATCCAATTTTCCCACTTAGCATCACACCATTAACATTTCCTTATATTACTTTTTTTCAAAAACATTTTAATGTTTGTATAATAATTGTTTAATCATTTCCCTTTGTGGGGGGTGTTTTGGCAATTTCTGGTTTTCCACCATTAAAGCGAGCCCTGCTGCCCTGGCCACCGTGGTTCAGTTGGTTGGAGGGTTGTCCTATAGAGCAAAGGATTGTGGGTTCTATTCCCAGTCAGGGCACATGGCTGGGTTGCGTGTTCGGTCCTCGGTTGGAGCACATGCTAGAGGCAACCGATCAATGTTTCTCTCTCACATCATTGTTTCTTTCCTCTCACTCTCCCTCCCTTCCTCTCCCTCCAAAATCAATAAGCATGCTTCAAGTGAGGATTAAAGAGGGGGAAAAAAAGAACACTGCTTTGAACATATTTGTGCTGTTACTTATCTTTCCTCTTTCTCTTAAATCTCTGGTTTTGTGACCGGTCTTCACCATCAGACTGGAAGTTCATCAAGAGCATAGCCCATGTCTCTACCATCAGACTGGGAGCTTCCCCAGAGTAGGGGCTCTTCCCCAGTTAGAAAAGGCCTCAGGCTGCAGCCAAGCTCTTAGGGGCTGGTGGACACCCTCAGTTTGTCCCGCCCAGCATCGCTCCCTGGCCTCTGATAGCAGCCTCTCCTGCTTCCTGAGGTTTGGGCGGGCAGCCACTCACAGGGCAGGCACCCCCCAGACAGGACTGGGGAATCCGAATTAGTGGTGAATTGACATAAGGAAAAAAATTGTTGCACAGCCAAGTCATGGCAACATCCTCAAGAAATGATCCATGGTCTCCTGCTACTGGGAGTTTCAGGCCTAAAATAGGTTGTCCTGTTCCTTTTTCAGCTCTGCGACCCACCCGGTATCCTTCCATTCCCTTCCCTTTTGCTGTCATTAGCCAGAGTAGGTTTTGACCATAGGATTGTGCCTGATCCAAATATTGGCACCAGAAAGTGGGGTTCGGGCCCAGACTTCAGGCCAAAAGCTCTGAGATCCCTGTTGGGGTTCAGCACTGGGAAAGCAGCAGCCCACAGTGCACAGAGGGGAGAAAGCTTATCAAGTTGTAAGCTGCTGCAGACACCAGGGGATCACGTACCCTCTGAGGTTCACTGTGTGGACTCGGCCATGGACTGACTTACGGGGAATGAAGAAACCAGGAACACAGAATGGGGTGGCTGCTCATGATGGCATTGAATAATGTCGAGCAAGACAAGCTTTAATGTCTAGATTACTGATTCAGGGAGTTAAATGAACTTCAAGACCTTTATGTGATATGGCTCAGAGAATCTGTTAAGACTGGTTGCTGCGGGGCGTAAGGCCATTAAAATATTATAAGACTTGGGGAGTATAAGAGTATGAGCAGCAAGGCCTCCAATCCATCCCATGTTCCTGAACAGTTAGACCGGCTCACCTGGTGATTTCTGAGGAACTGGTGTATTCCTTACCTGGCACCCTGACCCCTGACCCCTGACCAAGGAGGGCTAAGCCAAAGCCCCTGGTGCCCCTCTTACTCTCCAAATAATAAATAAAAAACAGGGTTCTGTCCCCCAGGGAGCTGTAGAAATTAGTCACCATGAGTGACTTGAAAGAGGCAGGAGTGGTGACTCCTATTTCTAGCAGACATCTGTCACATTGGTTGTTTTTGGTTTTGGCTGATCGGCATCCTAACCTCCTTCTCACGTGGGGGTGATGCCCTGCTGTGTGAGTCCTGGGGCGTGGGCAGGCCTCTTCTCTCCGAGGAAGCCCCCCACTCTGCCCACTCTGGAGAGTTCTGATGGCGTGCTGGCACTAGTCAGCAGTGGACCCCTGTGCCATGACTCCACCCCCCTCAGATGGCCCCGAGGACAGCAGTGGGGAAGGGAAATCTGCAGGATGGTAGAACTTCAAGTGCTCTAACTACCCACCGACAAAGAGCCACATCCTATCCCGCAGAGCCTGTAAAGTTTGCCTTATTTGGAAAAGGGTCCTCTGCAGACACAACTAAAGACTTTGAGATAAGGAGATGATCGATCCTACCAGATTATCTGACTGGGCCCTAACCAAGGACAAGTGTCCTTCTAAGAGACACACAGAGGAGAAAGCAAAGAAGAAAAGGTGACGTGACCATGAAGGCAGAGACTGGAATGGCGTGGCCACAGCCAAGGAAGCTGGTGACTGGAGAAAGTTAAAGGAGGCAGGACCTCTGCAGGGAGCGCAGCTCCAGAATTATAAGAGAACAAATTTCTGCTGATTCAAGCCACCAATTTGTGCTAATTTGTGGCAGCCTCAGGACACCACCTCCCTTGTAAGGAGAGAGAGCCTGAGGCGGATGAACACCACTTTGCACAGAATAGAGTGAGTTAAGTAAGAGTTTAGGGAAACGGTGTGTGAATGGAGCTCTCGGAATGGGGGCAAGATCAGAAAGTATTTGGGCCCTTTGAGAACCTCCTTGAGAGGCCTGGCACGGCAGAGGCTTTAACAACAGGGGCAGGACCACCCACTCCACAGAGGCCGGCCTCCTCCCTCAGCGCGCCCACCCCAGCCCCACCGGCACTGCCCTCAAGACTCATAAGGAAGACATCCGTCGTG